ATAACTCTGGGAAATTATTTACCTCTACAGACGCATTTCGCCCACGTACCTGACTATAAAGTAACTCATAATGGTGGAGTTCTTTGTATGAAATGTTCTCCGTACATAAATGGTATATTTATGCTGAGATGTCGTCCCTTTTACCATAGATTAAGCTAGAACATGGATTTTCAGTTCAAAGGCAACTAGGGGCTCATTTTGCTTCTAATTTTCGTAAAGGAATGGTCAGCATACAAGAAAAATACGAATGGTAACAGAACAGTCGGATTATAATGTGAAGTTTGTTCAACTTTACCTTTGGTTGTCTAGATATGCGTCTTTGCAGAATTCCGGTGACTTACTCACAAGGTCTGATTATATGTTTCCTTGTGGTAATAATCAGTATGAGTACATTAATGGGAACTACGGTATTTTACCGTATCCATAGTAGTATTTTTCAGACTGGATAAGACGGTATCGTTTAGATGGATGACTCATGGATTTTTTTAGCACTGTGGTTGAGAATTCTTAAATTTTTCAATGTCATTCACCTAAATACATCCGTGAACGGGATGAGTATAATATGCTTTCTTAATCAGTTTGGAGGTTTCAGATATAGTCTGATTACTGAATTAGGGTCGGTTAGTCTAACTTACAGACCAGGACTAACTAGAGGAACGCATTTTTAACTTATAAAACATTTTAACAGACACAAGGGCATTTGTCAGCCTATGTAGGATTTCTTTTAAATGAAGGTGCTTAAACGCATTAGTGATACAGTTTTTGGCTCTCGTGCTTAGTGAAGCAGATTCAAATACTCGAGGGAACATTAACACTAGGTATAGCCCAGAAAAGAGTCGTAATAAGTACGAAACTTAAACACCAAAGCTTTCTTCCATGAGGGTTCTTTGTCTTTGTGATTCCTGTGCAAATTAGCGACTCAGACTAAAGAACTCAAAATCAGTCCTTTTACAGTAGTCGATCATTGATAACATAGACGGATTTGAAACGATATTAATGGGAAGATCATAGGAAATGTGTATGAAGAGGGGGATAATTTTATGATGTCTAAAAAAACTGTACAGCAGTGGGAAATTTCCTTCTTCTCCAACTCCAACGTAATAAGTGAATACTAGTTGCTATTGTATAATTAATACAAGATCGCATCTTCAGGGAAAACTGAAGAAAGATAGCACAGAATATGCATACACGATTACTTAATATCTCCTCAGGGTTTTAAAGGCGCAAATACTAAAATGAATGGAAAGAATTTTATTTAGATAAAGCAATAAGAAAACGTAATTTGTCTGAATCGTGTAATGTATTTGTCCCGATCTTCATCGGATGTTACGATAAGAGGTTGGAGTTGGTCATATAAGTTTTCAAACATAGCGTGGATGGCCAAATCCTTAAACTGCATGCGAGGAACACAAAATTTGAGTCCAAGGGATAAAGCTTCTTTCTGATGAGTAGATAGAGTAATATCACAAAGATTTGTAACATACTGATCAGGATTCACCGGAAAAAGATCTAGGCGGTTTCGATCATCAATTGAAAACTTTAACTTATTTTGTATATTTGTTTTTGTTTTCTGAGTAACATCTTACAATAATGAAGAAATTTCATGTGGCATATCATTGATATTTCAGATAAAATATGCGACAGTATCTTAATTACCAAAGTTTCTGCCCTGTTCGGTACAAAAGAGCCTCAGTAAGGTGCCTCTTCAGTAGAATCCAACGAATATGCACTCAAGACAGACACACTTGATGAAGAAGAAAGAAAGTTGACACAAACTCTGGTTGATAACAATTATCCAGACAAGTTCATCAGGAGATATCAAGTAGTCAGTGGAACACCAAGACCCACTCTACAACTCGCCCCTGAGAAAGACGTGTACATCAAGCTACCCTATATGGGGCATCATAGAGGCTTGATTACTAGACAAAGACTGAACACTGCTGTTATAAAGACTTTTAATGTGAAGCCAATATATCTATCTAAGCCCTTCGAACATGCGAAAAGTGATGTCACATCCCACTGTATTTACCAATTTGAATGTAAAAGAATAAAACTTGTGCACTGTGGTAGAGTGTAATTCCATTATGGGTAAATTTTGTTTTGACAGAGTCTCACAGTGTTATACAGAAATGTGTACTTATGACGTTTTGAGCACAATTTATTGCCCATAATCACATCAAGGTGATTTGAGACTTCATTAAAACAAAATTTACCCATAATGCAATTTGAATGTATGTGTGGACACACATACATAAGGAGGACTCATTAATCTCTGCGAGTAAGGCCTGACTTTAGATCATATTCCTAAATGGCTCCAGAATCAAATGGAATCTTCAGAACCAATTAATCGTGAGAACAGGAGACCTAGCTCCTCTATTGCGAAACATATTATAGAGACAGGACATAAAATTGATGTTTACACGTCTTTTAAATCTATCTATAAAACGTGTTTGGGGCGTATCGTAAAGTTTGTGGAAGCCCTAGGAATTAGAAAGTTTAAACCACTTTTATGCGTTCAAAAGCAATTCGTTATCACATTAAACCTTCCTTGGTAAATTTTGTTTTGATACCGTAGCAGATGTACTATTACCTCTGCTATTTGGTTCAGTGGTCTTCATTGCTATTTTGACCTTGGATATGTCCTTTTAACTTGACCTGAGTCTACCTTCTCACCTCTTAACTCCATTAATTTCATACATATTCGTATGACAAGTCCGTGTGTGAACAGATTTTTCGAAAAGTGTTGCGCAAATACATTACACGATTCAAACAAATTACGTCTTCTTATTAATTTATCTAAAGTCACAGAGGGAACTAAGTTTTTTAAATGACTTTAATTGCTAGCTCCCTATGTACATTTTTTCAAATATCTTATAAAAAACTGATTTATGTTTTTCAGTGATAGTGTTGTGCTGCTATATTTTGACTAAACTAGCGTACACTTATATCTTAGTACTTCTTCGCGTTTATAATTGTGACCTAACGTTGCGATTACTCGACATCCACAACGTAATTCAAAAGGCACTTGCGAAGGAATACGATAGTGTATTATTGCAGCAATCAAAATTCAAAAATCGAGCGAGTACAAAAGTATCAATTGTTAACACGCAATCTTTAGAGTGATAAAGAAATCAAAGTCCAATTACATAGTGAAAGTATACTGCGATGATGAGTAATAAAATGGGTCACTACAATAGCATTAGCTTGACTGTTGCTTTTTGAGACTTGACTCTCTCTAATTACATTATTCTTGTGTGCATTTTAAGAAGTTTATTGCCGATTAGTGTTAAAAAAGGCTCATTTTATAAATTCCAGTTAGTACTTGAAGAAATAATGCTTACTGTAAAATCTAAGAGTTGTGTGTTTGATAGTAAAATATAACCAATGTGTAAATTCAGTAAAAGAGCTCATGACGGTTTATCACACCTGTTTTAAAACGGAGTTCTTGTTCTACTAAAATCAATACCCATAGAATAGTTAATCAGAAAATGTGTCAGATCCTCATTTAGAGGTCTCCAAAATACTTTGTTTACAATACCATTCTGTGGCACAGCAGTTAGGATACTCGCCGACCATGCATATGGTTCAGGGTTCGATCCTCTGCCGACACACACCCGATATCAATGGTCGGCCTGCTAAATTTGGGCTACCGATATCACATGGTGAAAATTCCACACTTGTACCAAAAATATGGTGTGGAATCAAGCTATAATCAAAATAAAAAATAAACTAAATTTTAAACACCAGTATAATTCAACTGGGCATGCTAGTATTTTTTAAGGACAATACTACAGATGTTCAATTCCTCAACTCAGTCTAAATGTAGTATTGGTAGTGACCAGAGTTATACTACAACCTGCATTGAAATATGATTCAAAACACTGGCCTCCAAGTTCCTGAGAAGAGGCTTTACAGAATAAGTCCCTTTATGCAAGGTGTTAGTTCATAAAAGCAAATCATGAGGAGCACTTTAGCATATATAGCCTTTCCTCATTTAATGCATTTTTAATGTGGATATTTATTAATTAGTGCAGTTATTAAACCAAAAATCTAGACATAAGCTAAAGCACCACACTTATAAATGGTTGACTAACGAAAGTTGCTAGTACGTGCAACAGCTTTTGATATTTTTTTTACAACGTACCCAAGTAGAGCCACAAATTATTTCGTATGTTACACTACTTCATATGATAAACTTCATATTACTGCTTTACATGTAAATCCTCGTTAAATAAGGAATATTTTAGAACTGAATACACGGCAAATTTCTAAATTATATGTTCATATATAGTCCAAAATAAAGCTTTATTATTATTATTAATCTTATGAAATTCCAAGATCTCATAACCATATATGAACGTATCAACAGGCTTAGGTTTGTATACATAATTTCTAACTTAACAAAACGATTTCCTTTTCAATCTTTTATTGTCGTATTACTTGGATAAGCGTTCAGATATCCTTAATATCTGAATGTGAACACTTCAATCGGTAAGAAAATACGCTTAGTATTCGGTGCATAAATTTAGCATTCAGTGAGTAAAGTTTACCTATTTTTGATGTTATTCGTTGATTAGTAATATAAGATTCATTTTATTCAGTGACTTAAAGTAATATTATACTTATTTTGAGTGAATGATAGGAAGTTCATTTTGAGTTTTAAAAATTATTTACAGCCAAAAATTAGACAAAATAAAAAATTAAAAAATAAAGATCAGATATGCTAATGTACTAATATACACTTAGGGTGGGAGAAGTTATTTTCAGAGTAAGCACTTATAGGTGCCAGGTAGTTTCATTAATACAGAGATCAAAACAAAAGATTAATGTTATGTAAAATAGTGAGTTATAAATAATAAATTTTGCTGAAGAAGTTTGTATAAAACGCCCATGCTTATTTTTAAATTTGGAGTGCAGTGAATAAACAGGTAGGGAAAAAAATGTTTACATTATCTTGTTTAGAAAAGAATACTCTACCAATATTTGATTATCGCTTCTGTTATTTCTAATGATTCAATTAGGTGATTCTGTTTTCACAGCTGGTTGTTAGATTTGATAAGTAATTTATCCAATAGAAGTGTTGTTTCTTCCTATTCAAATAATTCGACAGACACAAGTATGAACGATTCTACACTGCTAAATGCGATTGTCTCTCATTTATCAAAAGACAATATGAAGTGATACAACGGCAGGTGTGAAACAATGAGTCAGGATATTCAAGTAAATTTACCAACAAGCATAATTATTACTATAGAAGGGATACTTGGTACCATATTCAATATGACTGCAGTTATAGTTATCTTTACAACACAGTTGGGTTCAAATTTAACAATGCTTATGCTAAGAGCTCAAGTAATAATTGATTTCACCGCATGCCTTATCACAACTTTATATTATACTATGCAGTTTGCTAAAATAGCTAGCAAAATGACAGGATTATACATTATCGATTTGCTTATATGCCATTTGTGGTTTAGAAATGCATTATTTTGGTTAACATGTGTTTTAAGTGTACAGAATCTTGTCTGTATATCACTTGATCGAGTTCGCTGTGTTATATTTAAAAAAATGTACAAAGTTTATTCATTTAAATTCACTATAGTATACTTTGTTTATATGGTGATTATGGTATTCATATTGTACACACCAACCCCACTGCTCCGCCGATATGTTGGTAATCATTGTAAAATGGAATTCTTATTACCATGGTTTAAATCAAATACATTTCTAAATTACATGGTGTCTAGTTGGATTTTATTTGCCTATATTGTACCCGTCATAATTATGATTACTAGTCATATCTGGGTAATCAGAGTCATAAGGAAATCACATTCATCACAATTGAATATAGAATCACAGAATTTAGAAGCCAGTGTAAGAGTTAAACGTAAAATAAGCCAACTGGCAATAACAACTGCAATTATGTCTGGACAGCAAATTATACTACACCTCTATGAAGGTGTACACCAAACACTAATTGTAACTAATCTTACAAAATATTATTATGAAGCAGCAACCGGACAGCTGAGTACACTGTTAATTTTGCTTAGTTCTGCCTTAAATCCATGCGTTCTCGTTTTGACTACATCTGCTCTAAGAAGACATTTATGGCGATCATTGAAGATTCTAGCAGAAGTCATGAAATGGAGGGGGAAGAAGAACAACGACACCAACACAGAAGTATTGTAAATATTGACATGCGAAATATCAGAGAGAAATCAGACTAACCTGTGCTTAAATTCTTTCCTTGATGAATAACTTTCAGTTAGTTTCAGTAAATCAATGATTACATGAAAAAAAATGAAATAAAAATTAAGTTGAGCAGTCAATATTCACTAACAACATGCATCACATCATGTTATGCTCATAAATGAACAATTCTTACTACGCATTTATTTCACTTAATTAAGTAAAAGTGATGCAATGTTCTGAAAATTTTGTACAAACATATTACCTTGATCTATGCGAATGAGAATTGCACTGTAAACGAACTATTTCTTCGACATTCCATTTATTTTTGAACACATTTTGTTGGACAGCTTATAACCACCATAAATTTGAAAAGATATTTTTTTATGTGTATGACTGTAAACCATGTGTATATACAAATATATCTTTGTTTAGAACAACTTGAAATTTTAATTGTAATATGTATTTCGTTGTTTTTGGATCGATAAATTTGAAGTGTTGAATATAGATACATCTCAAAGTAGTTAATGTAACGAACTGATTGATATTGGTTAGAGAAATTCAAAATCGAGATGCAGTGGTGAGATGTTTCATTGTACTCTAAGACTCTACCTCAGTTACGCTTACCAATCCCAACTATTATCAAGCCCACTAGTGAACGTTTTCGTTGTCGGTACATTATCATTTCGATACTTTCTGCTCAGATCCCAACAAACTTAGTCCACTAACTCTTGAAGACTCGTGATGTGAGACGATCATCATCCCATATTATGTATATGTTCACATCGATCGATCACAACAATGTGATAATAATAAATACAATCAATGCCAATATCTACTACCAGATGGTTTAAAAGATGAACTGAATACTCATAATACATAGTTAAATTCTATCTAAACAACAGTATAACAAGATATTACAATTTATTGAAAGGAAGAAACTTACACATTGAGTCATATCTATGCAAACTGCAAACAGTCGTTAAGTAGTCAGAAAATCCCATTAACTTTTATCCGTATTATACAATTTTCACGTATGTCTATAAATCTTTGAGAAAAGTGTTGGTTGAAAAGGAGATGATAAGTGGTCGTATGAGAACTTAAGATAGACTGTAAAGGATATGTTGCTAAGTCATTCAGAAGACAGAATCACGAGAGAACTAGTGTTTGAACACACACGTCGGTGGCACAGAGTTTAGGACGCTCGCCAACTATGCACATGGTTCAGGGTTCAATCTCCGGCCGATGCACACCTGATATCAATGGTCGGTCTACTAAATTTGGGCTACCGATATCACAAGCTGAAAATTCCGTAGTTGTACCAAAATACTGTGTGGAATCAAAAACGAAAAAAAGTATTTGAATAGCCTAGCAAAATGTCGGTTAATTTCAGTTGAAATTAACTTATATAGGTTAGCATGTCGACAGTGGATGAAAATACCAAAAGTTTGTAACTATGAGAATCTTTTGGCAATATCACAATTAAGGCAGTGGACGATGTTATGCAAAAAATTATTTTGATGTTTATTTTATATGAGAAATATATCAGAAACATAAGGAGGGATAATGTTAAACTAAAGTAAGAATGTTTGACTTGTAGTAGGTGTAATTAATTTACATTATACTTAGAACAAACAGTTTATTTTTCACAAAATGAAAGTAAAGACTGATAGATTAGTCAGCTAAGAATAAAGTGAGTAGCCATGATATCGTCCATTCACATGTAACTTGCATTCAAGAATATGTATTAGTAGACGATAACTAATACGTCTGACTTGTTCTTAACTCTTGACTGATTATCATCAAACAACTTTGCAGTTCATCTCTTGAACTTATTAATTCGATAATAAGTTGTACCATAGTTTCTCATTTAGCACTCACTACATCAATAACTTAGAGGTCCACTTTGGCTCTGTTGAGTATGCAGATTTGAATCTCACAAGAAATGTTAGTTTCCTTAAGGTTATAGGCGCACTCGGATTATCATTGCCAAAGAGTATAAAGCTTTGTTAAAGCCTAGTCTTGTATCAACTGACTTTTGACATCTTATTCAGCCACCAGTGTCTTATTTTACGATGAAACAAATGTTTGACACCCATATTTCTTCACTTATTGAGATTATGTAAAGAAAGCTGTCTCTAATAATGACTTATAAGTAAGTTTTGCTGGGTTTTTTTTACTAATACTCTCAGTAACAACAAATGGATTTCTTTCGATTGTAACTGACAAATATTGTTCAATGAAAAGAGAGAGAAGGTGTGAGTGGTGTAAGAAGAGTGCAAAAGAAATTATACTACAACATCATAACCATATTATTCAGCATTACAGAACCATATTAAATTAAATGTTTGCAATTATTTTAGTTAAGACGTTTTTGCACAGCATTACTTCTAAACTTCCCAGATTATAAACAGTTGGCATGAAGGCATGCATTCGCCTCATAAAAGTACGTTTTTCCAACTAGCACTACTATCTGATAACTTAGCAGTTGCCAGAAAAATGACGATTTATAATTGTTGACCACGATTTAAAAAAAAGTAGATGCACATTTTGATGTGGTTGTGTTCTCTGAGCTGGATAGTTAATTTGCGAAGCTTTCATCACCCTACTAGGTGACATCTTCAGCGCATACTTCAATTTGATGAAGTGAGCTTTTAGATTTCTCCACGAGTTTATTAATCATCTCTCCTGGTGACCTTGGACGTGATTGGTTGTTTTTGTGTGTTTTCACACCTTCTAGGCTACTTGTATTGTAACTGATTGTTTCTTTGACTTGAACTTTGACCCTTTGTGTGTGAGGTTTCTTTCTTATCGGTTGATAAATTTTGTCAATCAAATTACTCTTACCCCTCTTATCTAATTCCACTATATATAATTAGTTGTTTTTGACACCGAATAATCTGTCTACCTACGTCAAATTCTGGAATTATTTCCTTATGCCTTCTTTATAAATTGAACTATAATGATTTTAGAGTATGCAGTTGATGAGATCCACGAATAAACGAGTCGTATTATCCTGCAAACATGTTCATTTTTAATATAAGAGATTCGATGTGTCTATTGATTGATGATTCACTGGAATGCTAAGCTTTTAAAAATTCTCTAGCATTCTTGTTGTTTCCTCTGTCTAATATTTGAACATTGTCCCAATCGAATTGATGCCCGTGGTTGTCTGTATGTAGTGATATGAGGGAGTGGATGTCATGTCTTTTGACGGCTAGCTTATGTTCGTGAATACGAAGACGAAGGGGACGTCCACTTTGGTCAATGTAGTGTTTTTCGCAGTTGTTACAATTTATTTTGTAGATGATGTTGGTTTTATCTTCTTTCGCTGTTGAGTCTTTTGGTTGACATAGAAGTGAGTGAAGTGATTTTGTTGGTTTGTGTGCGACGTCAATTCCTAAAGGTCTGACGAGTCTTGCAGTGATTTCTGATATATCCTTTATATATGGCAGGGCGACTTTCTTTGTGCTTTCCTTGGGGGCTTTTGGTTTGATAGGTTGGCTTGGGGGTATATGTCTTTTGATGAAATTCCGTGGATATCCATTCTTTAGGAAGACGTCCATGAGATATCTTCCTTCAATTTTCCTTAAGGTGGGAGTGCTGCAATGAGTCCTGGCCCTCTTGAATAGTGTTTGTATGCAATTCCTTTTGTGTGTTATTGGATTGTTGCTGTTGTAATTCAGTATTTGATCTGTGTGAGTTGATTTTCTATAAACTTGGGTTTCTAATTCCCCTGTGGTTGTTCGCTTGACTAAGACGTCCAGAAATGGGATTTTGTTCTCAGATTCCTCTTCTCTTGTGAATTTGATGTCGTTGAAGACGTTGTTTATTAAGTTGTGAGTTTTATCTAACTCGTTTCTTTTGATTATTACAAATGTGTCGTCTACGTAACGTATCCAAATCTTGGGTTTGATCTTTGGTAGGATTATGTTTCCAAGCCTTTGCATCACTGCTTCTGCAATCAAACCTGATATTGGCGATCCCATGGGTGTTCCTTTGACTTGTTCATATATTTGGCCGTTGAATTGGAAGTACGTTGTTAAGCATAGGTTTATGCATTCCATCCAGCTTGTGTGTTGCATTTTTGATTGTTGTGGGAGGTGTTCGTCGTGGCTGAGTAATTGTCCCGTGGTCTCCTTTGCTAGTTTTTGTCCGATTGAGGTATATAATGCTGTGACGTCGAAGGATATCATTATTTCTTGTTCATCCATTTGGATGCCTTTGATTTTTTCTAGAATTTGGATAGCAGGGTTGATGGAGTGATCACAAGATTCCGTTAGGTGTTTCAGTTTTCTTTATAATTCTTTGGATAAGTTGTATGTTGGAGTTCCTGGGAGCGATACAATTGGTCGTAATGGGATATTTGGCTTGTGTATTTTGGGTCTGCCGTAGAATCGGGGTAGGACTGGTCCATTGGATTTCATTCGCCATTGGTCTTGTTTTGTGATCTGTCCAGTTTTGGTGAGTTTGTTTAAGGTCCTTTGGATGCGGTTGTCTAATGTTTGTATGGGATTTGTTGAAAGTTGTTGATATACATCCTTGTCTTTGAGTAGTTCTTCAGCTTTCTTGGTGTATTCTTCTCTGTCCATGACTACTGTTGTTCTTCCTTTGTCGGCTGGTAGAATGACGATGTCTTTCCTATTTTTCAGCTTTTTGAGGGCCTTTAGTTCTTCAGAGCTGAGTTGTGTGTGTTGTTTTTTCTTTTTGACCGTTGGTTGACCATTGTTTGGCGTATCTCTTCCTGTGTTTCCTCGTTCAAGTTTGATGATTAGACTAATGATTCAAGGGCAGCGAAGAAATCAGTTTTCGAGGCATCTCCAGTGTTGTAGTTTAATCCTTTTTGTAGTAGTTGTTGTTCCGTTTTTGATAGTGGTTGTTTTGATAGGTTGACTACGCAGTCAATAGGTGTATTGTCTGGTTGTTGTTTTCTAATCTTGGCTAGCTTGGTTTTGAGGACTCTTCGTCTTTGTTCTCTGTGTTTTCTACTTGACAATTTAATGGCGGTCATCAGCGTTGACTTAGTGCCTGTAGTAAGTAAGAAAATGCTGTGTGGAATCAAGCTATAATAAAAAGAAAATACATTCTAGCAGTTGGTCATTTCAGAGTGACTGTTAATTATACTGTGAAATACTCAACATTACTTGTCTCTTCATCTTTGACTTGTAACTAACTAACCATTATGGTTCAGCAGGCCTGCATAGCATATGAAAATTTACAATCATTTTCCTAGCTAACAAAACTATTTCGAAATAAATACGAAAAAATTGTTTATTATCGTAAAATGCCTATAAGTCACTGTCATACATACTAAAATTTATGTTCATTCTTTTTTCAACACAGAACGTGTTTTATTTGAAGAAATTTCTCAGAATAAATTGAAGATTGAATAATAGTGAGTCAAT